TTTCTCCTAATCTCCACAACTATAGCGTGTCTGTTTTCCGATGTTTAACAGGAGATTTATTAATTAAAAAATAAATAGGATATTATTAAATATGAATTTATGTTATTCACAGCAGACAATAATGCGATTGGCCATGTGAGCAGAGCGTTCCCGAGTTCGTAGGGTCACAGAATCCACTTCTTTTTTTTGCTCCCCGACACGATGCCTTAAATTCCCCTTATTAAAACAACACGACTGTCCAAATTAGTCCAATTTATTGCATTAATATAACATATTTATTGCATTAATATAACAATTAAACTACAAAGCTGGCACGGATGTATAATTTCAAACTGAATTCACTATGACTGTTGTTTCAGTAAGCTGCATGTAGCATGGAAAGTTGTTTCTGCGACAGCTCTGGCTCTCTGAGGCACGGTATAATACTTGCTCGCTTCATTTCCTTCACTTCTTGCTGAAACATACACTTAACTGCAGTGCACTATATAGGGATCAGTAATTACTCTATAAAGTATTGCATTACTTATTACTATTTCAATGATGAACTGTCTTTAACTGAAAAATGAGTGTTTACTATTGTCACTTTGCATTATTGACACTATTTTCCTAATTAATGCTGTTCAGTTGCTTTGACACAATCTGTATTGTTAAAAGTGCTATATAAATAAAGGTGACTTGACTTGACTACTAATTACCTTTGAAGTCCAATATTAACTGTGACCAGTTGAACAATACATGAATCTGTAACTATAATTATTATTTTTTAAAATAAATTATGTAAAATTACTTTATGTATTCAAAGCAATTACATCAGAAGTAACTGTAATTCAATTACTGGAAAAAAGAATAATCACTCATTTTTTCAAGGGAAAGTAATTAGTTACAGTAATTTGCATTACACCCAACACTTAAATGACAGTGTTTTACCTGCTTCTCCATTCTCGAACCCATTACCTTTGAAGTCCAATATTAACTGTGACCAGTTGAACAATACATGAATCTGTAACTATAATTATTATTTTTTTAAATAAATGATGTAAAATTACTTTATGTATTCAAAGCAATTACATCAGAAGTAACTGTAATTCAATTACTGGAAAAAAGAATAATCACTCATTTTTTCAAGGGAAAGTAATTAGTTACAGTAATTTGCATTACACCCAACACTTAAATGACAGTGTTTTACCTGCTTCTCCATTCTCGAACCCTGAAACATGCAGTCTATATCCATCAGCTTCAGGACCCACAGAGAAGGACGAGTACTGAGCGAAAACTTTATTTCCTTGAAAGTCCTCCAGATCCACTCTCAGCATGTAACTCCTGCTATATGTCATCTGGTACATGTTCTCCAGCCCTGATCATACACACACGTGAAGAACACGTTCAACCAAACACTGGACGTGAACACACACACAAACAAACACACACACACACACACACACAGACAGACAGACAGACAGACAGACAGTGAGATCTTACCCAGCCAGTATTCATTCTCCACAATCCCAAATCCTCTCTTGTACTGATTCCACGGCCGATAGAAATTCACACTGCCGTCCATTCTCCTCTGAATCACCTGTGATGGGTTTATATAGAATATATGATTCATAATGAATGTTCTGATGTGTGTTTAATGATCTAAAGTCACATTCATACCGTCCATCCTCCTTTATCTTCATCGTTCCCATCTGAGATCATCTCACAGTAAACCCTGACAGGAAAGTCACCTGCTGGATAGATGGAGTAAATCCCACTGACTGTTTGTCCTGAGTTATATACATCAGAACAATCATTTTCATCCTGACATTCACTCATCAGTACAACCGGCAGAAGAGCCGCCAAAAACACCTTCATCTACACGAGACAGAGAGAGAGAGAGAGGAAGAGATGAACGTCACACTGAAATGAAGCTGAAAACATCTCTAATAATGTAACTATTGATGAACTTACTGCCATCTTCTCAATCTCTCCTCAGTAAATCACAGCAGAGATCTGTTTTATCTAGACGAAAATGAACATTTTCATACTATATGTACTTTGACATTTTTGTGAAAGTTGTATAAGCGTCTAAATGTTCTGTGAGGTAAATGAAGAATAAAGCAGTAACTCACCGTTTGTGTTCTTCAGTCTGACACAAACACTCTTTATCTCTGTCAGATTCTCAGGCTCCTCCTCGGAGTTAAAGAAGAAATTTACATCACAAAACCCATACTTTGGAGGCAAATGAAATGCAAGTTAAACCTGCAGTCACATGTTGTATTTGCTGTTCTTGCAGAGCATTGGCCACAAATTGCTGCTTTTCAACTATATTCTTGTATTTGTTCTTCTTATTATTATTATTCTTGAATGGAAGTAGTGCATAGAACTATTTGATCAAATATTGTGATGCACCTTTAATGCTCAGGACAGTAGGGTGAGAGGCAGAAACCAGTAGGAAATCACAAACCATGTGTTCTAATGTTGTAAATATCGAAACTATCATTTAAATAGCATTACATCGTGTGCTATATCGAACATTTTTTCTCTCGTTATCGATGAAGGTGTACCGTCGATAAATATCGATACCGTTTTATGGCCCAGGCCTAGTTTTTGCCATATGCACATTAACTGACAGTCTACTTAATATATTGTAGAAACTTAATTTTCTGTAAAGTTGATTTGCAGCGATTTGTATCGTGAAAAACGCTAGACAAATAAACTGGGATTGAAACTTGAATTGAATTGCAGAAGATCTAACTAGATTAAATTAATCTTCAGATACCCTGCTTTGTACATGCAGCACATATTCCCAACACACTAGAGAGGCATTAAATAAGTGCTCGAAGTGTAAGATAAATGTTTTCCTTTAACAGATGCAACACTTGTGTTAAGCATTTTCTCCCTTTGTTTAACACTGAAGAGTTTGTCTTGTAAATCCCATTTTGCATGCATGTAAATATGTCACGACAAAATCCATGACTACTTTGATTGTTATATATACAGATTTATATACATATTATACAGTAGTGAGAAAAGGGGGTTCATATTGAGACATTTGACTTGGTGCACACAGTGAAGTTGTTGAGATCAATTCTAAACTTCAGAGTTCACACACGTGTGAGAGCACCACAGTCTCTAGCTAAGGAGGAAGATCTGGGGCTGTTTCATAAAACAAGTTTACCAAATAAGCCAGGCTTATTTCAGTTAGTCTGACTTATTGTCACTTGATTTGGTTTCAGAAAGCAAATTTACCATAGCTCAAGCTTTCTCTGGGGTTTTATCACAGCTGTACCTTTTATGGTTATTATAGAACATTAAAACATTACAATGAAAAATTGCTCTTTAAAGCATTTAAAATCACTAAATTAAAAATGAAAATAAAAACATAGAAAACAGACTGCATTTTAACTGGTAAAAGGAACTAGCTAGCTTACATTTGATTAACAGTGACCGCTATCATAAAAATACACGTATATGTTGGATTAAAATTCTACATGTGTCACATTTAATGTCCAACAACAAATATTTTAGCAAAATGTATACTGTACTCAGAATTATTGTACTTTTATTCTATTGTGTTCCGTCTGTTTAGCGTGCAGAAGCGCTCGTTCACTCCTGACAGCAAAATGGATATATTTGCATGACTTTCTAACATTACAGATGAATATAACTGTGACATATCCATTATGCACTGGGGAAAACACAACATCTCAAATGCATTAAACAGCACAAATATTCGCTGTTTGCAACGGTGGATCGATTTGATCCATGATCGACATTAATCGCTGCTTAAGAATAAGCGTGAACATCAAATTATCTTGACTCAAGCTGGATCGAATCAGTGAGACTGCGTGAACTTAAATGGTCGTTTATGAAACCGGTTATGAAAACATTATAACAAATTTGGAGTCTCTATCTCAAACCTATAGCACCACCAATGGGTCAAATAAGCACGATCTTTACACTAATAACATTTGAAAGTTAAGTCCTAGCAGATCAATTTTGATTCTGGAGATCATTGTCGGGTCGAATGCGCACCATGGGTGCATCTCAATCAGCTACATATACGTCAAGAATCAATATATTATGTGCACAGATTTGGGCACTGGTAAGGAGCCTCACTCACTACACATTGTGGCTGTGCATTAATTATAAACGTTAGCTAGATTATGTTCACTACCTGTCTAGGTATGCTTATGCTGAAATGTAATTAAATAATTATTATGTGTCATGATGTGTATTGATGTCAGGGTTTTGTTTTGCCTTTGTGTTTTTGGATTTCTGTCTGCTGTGTTAGTTTTTCTTCGACCCAGTTTTCCCCATGAATTGGACCATGGAGCAATTGAAGAAGGTATGAATCTTGTTTTTATTTTTTTAGATCAGGTTGATGGTCAGGTGCATGTGCGTCACCTTCATGGCAATGGTTTATCCTGGTGATAGTAGCCTCTTTCATCAGGATAAAGCACCCTGACACTGCACACATGGTTTAGGAATGGTTTGAGGAATATGACAAAGAGTGCAAGGTTTTCCTTGGCCTCCAAATAACCCAGATCTCAGTCTCATTGAGCATAAACACATTTATATTCAAATTTACATTCATAAAATACATTTTACAAATGCAAAACACTATTCGCAAACATAGTGTGCACTTAAAGTTTTGAGTGTTTTGAATTCACAAATTGTTTGTTGAATAGGCATTTGCAAATAATCCCTTTGAATTTGTGTTTGTGTATTTTGAGACTTTCCTTGTAGGTCATGTTTCATCACTGCCGTTCTCTTCAGCCAATCAGATTTGAGCCTCTCAATCGGTGAATCATAACCCACTGTGGGCTTTTCGTGTACAACGTTTATTAATCACTGTATATAAGCTACATGTGAGTAACTCAGAATCCAGACCCAAAACAAAGAAGAACAATTTATAAACAGTCATACACTTTTGAGAATAATATTCTTACATGATTTCCTAAGTTAAACAGTTAGTAGAGAATGGAAAACATTAATTTGATTGTTTTGATGTTTATTTCTGAGAAGCACTGTAATGCTTCTAAGACACAGGTTTGATCTTCATGCTGATGGATTTCATACCAACAGCGTAACCCTTCCATGTAAACCAAACATTTCCAATAGCGTAATGGGTGGCATCTTCACCCCATAAATACCAACCATTGGGGTTTGCATGGTGACATTTAAAGTACCAAAATGCCCCGAGACTGCGTTTGGCACAGTTAAGTGGACTGATGTCTTGGTCCTTGTCAAAGGTGGAGAACTTGTATCCATTATGGCCAGATAAAGAGTCACCTGCAGAGAAGAAGAGCATCACTGAGAAAAAAAAAAAAATTCAACTAGTATGAGTGTTCAGGAGTATAAAGAACAGTGCCCTACCAGCTCCTCCATCAGTGAATCCTGAAACATGCAGTTCATACCCGTCAGCTTCAGGATCCACAGAGAAGGACGAATACTGAGCGAAAGCTTTATTTCCTTGAAAGTCCTCCAGATCCACTCTCAGCTTGTAATTCCTGTTGCGTGTCAGCTGGTACATGTTCTCCAGACCTGATCAAACACACACATGAAGAACACGTTCAACCAAACACTGG